CGGGTTTTAAAAAAACGGCCAAACAGTTTCAAAAAAACGGGGGGGCAAGGGGCCTTGGGGGGGGGGGGCAAGGTCAGAATATCCCACCTGTGCCTGGAGTTGTTCCTGCTGTTGTGTTGAAAACTCCGTCCGGCAGTGAGCTGGCACGTCCACAGAGGCAACTATCTTTCGGATCTGGGCCCTCATGGCGTTGCATTCTTCCAGGCTGAAGAACCGCTGGAGGACCAAGAAGCCCTCCTGGTGGAACTGCAGAAGAAGTTGGAGAAGGTCTTTGGATGGGTGGCTCTCAACCTTGGCTACTTGGAGATCCGTGGACTTCGATTCCCAGAATCCCCCAGCGTGCACAACATAGACACCCTGGGGAGGGGGATATAGAAGATCCATCCAATCCCAATCTGATATTCCCAAGTGGTTTCGGTTGACCCGTTGAGTTTGATCCTACTGGAAAACCCTCCCCTTGTTCTCTGGTGCTCGTGAATTTGGTCACATAGAACAGAGGTCAGCAACCAACGGCTCTGGAGCCGCATGTGGCTCTTTCATTCCTCTGCTGCGGCTCCCTGTTGCCGGTCGGTTTCACAACTGGTAGGGCTTTCGGTTAGGACAGGTAGAGGAAAAAGGACGCCACGCTAGGAGGAGACTCTATGGTGGGGGAACCGGAGTTCCGGTTGGCTCCAGAATATATATATAGACCTTGCTTTCATTTAAAGAGCTGGCCCTTTAAAGAAACTAAACAGATTATCTCCACTAGATTTTGGATTTAAGGAGATAGAGAACAGGCTGCAGAAATCACAGCAAGCGCTATGTAGAAAATCAATAGAAATGATTTGAAATCTTAGTAAAGAATTGGAGGGGGGGGGATTCTTGCGATCAATAGGATCTAATTGCATCTGTTTTAATCTTTCAACCTTTAAAACCTCAGTAGTATACCAAAACACTATTTTAGTATTATATTCATAAAGGCAATTTAAAGATATAGTGCATGATCAAGTTATGCAACCAGCCTCAGATATTTAAAAGTATTTAGTATTTCAGCTGATTTTTTTCTTCTTCTTCTGGTCTTGCTATCAGCACCCATATTTATTGACCATCAGTTTCTACAAACTCTTTTCTGCATTTTTATTTAAGGTGTACAATTTTAGTAAAAAACAAAGTTGGAAAAGCTGCGGGTGTGAATCAAAACTTTACACTTTTTTTCCCCCCACAGAATCGGAAATGACTCAAGAGGCAAAGTGTGTGTGTGAGTTGGGCAGCCACACAAATCCTTTTCACGAATAAAGAAATCAAGTTCTTGGTGTGTTTCGTTTCTCTGCTCCCTTCGCTTCTTACCTTAGAGAGTCTCTCTTGGCTGACGGGGTCCATCGATCACTTGTTAAAGCAAACGGTGCCCGTGTGTCCAGTTCGCTCCATGTCCAGGGATCAACCTTCCCCTGCTAAGCTGGGCGGGTCATTTCATCGTCATGTGATAAACTGTAAAGGACAAAGAAATGCATGACCCCAGCTGATTCCGCAGGGCCCCTGCGGTGGACTTCGGCCCTGGGCCTTTGTCCCATTGGCAAGAAGCCCCGCAGATCGAGTTTGATTCTTCTTGGACACCGAAAGGAGATTTTGGCAGAGACGAAAAGATTAGGGAAGGGAACAAGAAAGAAAGAGAGAGAGAGAGAGAGAGAGAGAGAGAAAGAAAGAAAGAAAGGGAGGGAGGGAGGAAGGGAAAGAAAGAAAGAAGGAAGGGAAAGAAAGAAAGAAAGAAGGAAGGAAGGAAGGAAGGGAAAGAAAGAAAGAAAGAGGGAGGGAGGGANAGCCTTCATCTCGCCCCTTAGGAGAAGGAGGCAAGATAAACCAAAGAAAGAAAAAGGTGCAATTTTAACAAGACTGGCCAGCCTCCCTAACTGATTTGAGACAATGGTTACATCCCCGTTACAGGCTATTGGATAAATTTTAATTTTTCTCATCTCTTGAGCATCGCAATCAGGATTATGATATCAGCAAAGCGGGGGCTTTTTAAAAATTATTGGGAGGCTATTCCAAGCAAAACGGGAGCCATTGGAGGTCTAAGGCATCCATTTTGTCCATCAACACCCCCCCTCCCCTTCCATATATCTCTCCAAGCCAAATACAGGCCCATCCCGAGGATTTGGTAGAAGGTGGCAGATCCTGAGCACCACAAAGAGGCAAAGTTTGGGGGAGTCTTTCCTCCAGCTAGCTCAAACTGCAAAGTTAGACTACCTCCTCCTAGCACAGATTGGTAATTACAGGAAAATGAAAAGATGTTTCTGAAAGGGTGAGATAAAAATTATTCCGCTGCTGCTGAATTCTAAAAAAGTCTTACAAAGGTATCGTCCACAGCAGGTGCATCATCCGAATCCCAGTCCACATTTTATTGCATTTCTAACCTGCCTGGCCTTTCAGAAGCCGGGGGTGGTCTTGGTTCCCTGCATGCCTCCTTTTTTCTTCACAACGTCCGCGTAACGTTCATTGCGGAGCAGAATCTCCAGTCTGGCTTCTCTTGGTAAGGATCTGATGCTCTTAATTCCAGGCCCAACTGATTTTTTTTAAGCCCACGCTCTCCTGAACAGGCTGAGCGGATTTGGAGATGATGTAAAGCTGGAGCCAGAGATTCCCCAGCTACAGATGCAGAGCTGAAGATCAGCCCCCTCCCCCCGCCGCTTCCCCAAAAGAGATGGGGCTCCCAAAGCAGAGATGCTGTGGGTTTAGTTGCTCGTGTACAGCGATGGGAAAGGCAGTTCCAGAGTTGGTTGAAGCCTGAAACAAGTGGGGGGGGGAAAAACCCCGTTAAATGGCTCCGGTGCTAGTGAACCAACAGGGGGGTGGTAAGACCTTGGCAAGAGTGGCAAGGACAGTCATCCCTCCCATCCCGCTCTCCTTCCTCCGCTTACCAGTTCTCAGCGCTCCAAACCGCGTCCTTGGCCTCCATCAGGTGGAAGGTGTAAACCTCGCGGGACTCCTCCGAGTGGTTGGCTTCACTTTTGTGCACCACCTCGCCGTGGATAAGGACCAAGTCCCCTGGATGACCATGAAGAGAGTGAAATGTATTCACCCCAGCTGGAAGCAGCGCTTGGCCATTTCACAAGCAAGTCCTTGACCTGCAACCTACTCGCCTAGCGACCCTTCAGGGTTGCGACCCTCTTCCCCAGAGTTACTGAACACCCGTTCCGAAAGTTACGACTACCCCCTGCAGTGAGATCCTTTGGGTGCATGGCAAGCGGGTTTCGCTTTATGACCATTTGCAGCGTCCCACAGACACGCGGCCACAATTGGTGACTTTTCTCCCCCTGGTTTCTGGCCTTGGCTTTTCAGTTCCCAGCAAAAAAAAAATGTCCACCGGGGACAACAGATTCATTTTAACGACTGCAGCGTTCACTTAAGAACCACCGTGTTTGTTTAACAAATTGCCGCAAANCTGTGGACTTCGACTCCCAGAATCCCCCAGCCAGCGAGAGCTGGCTGGGGGATTCTGGGAGTCGAAGTCCACAGGACTTAAAGTCGCCAAGGTTGAGAAACACTGCTTTAAAATGTGTTGACTTCAACTCCAAGAATTCCCGCCAGCCAGCCATGCGCAACCTAATCGTGCATTAAAAACAACCGCCATGCTGAACGTGTATTTATTCTGAATATTCAGCCAGATAGGTCTAAAGGTTAAAGTATCAGGCTAGAAAATAGGAGACAGAGAGTTCTAGTCCTGATTTAGGGTGTCTTTGAGCCAATCACCAGGAAACGGTGAGTTCTACCTAATACTCCTCCTATTCCCCCCCCCCCCAACAACAATCTTGTGAGGTTGGCAGGGCTGAGAGAGGGACTAGCCCAGTCACCCAGCTGGCTTTCATGCCTTGAGGTGGTACTAGAACTCACTGTCTCCTGGTGATTGGCTCAAAATCAACCAGCCTGCTTACGTGCCTTAAAGCAGGACCAAAACTCACAATCTCTCCATTTCAAGGTAGACCAAACTGGCTCGGATTCCCCTAAGACTATTTTATTTAAAAAGAGGAGGGGGGAGGGCTTCATTTTTGGTCTCCCCCTTTGTTCTCATTCGGAATTCCCTTAGGAGTGCCAGAAAACCAAATTTAAGACTCCCTCTCCCACTGTTCAGATTCAGGGAACTATACAGCCAGCTCTGGAGAAGCAGACCTGGGCTTCACAAGAGACTTGTTCAAATTTTCCCCGTTTCTTGCCTCCCCTACCCTTAAATTTAGAACCATTCCCCCCCCCACCCTCCCAGGAAGCTTGCAAATCCCAGGAAAGCCATGTGTAATCCCTACTTGGCTGGGGAGGATGGGAGCTGGAGTGCAAGGATCGCCCGAGGATAGCAGCCGTCTTCCCCAGGAGGCCGGAGTTGACTTGCCTGTCTCTTGAAAAAGACAAAAGCCCATCGCTCTGATCTCATCCGTTTCTCCGAAGGGCAAGTTACCTTAAGAGCATCTCTGGAGAAAGCTGATATAAGGGTCGGTCGGTCCCCTGGTTGAAGATCTCCCAGGCAGCTGGAAGTGGAGAGGAGAAGGCGAAAAGGAAGAGGGCAGAACCAGCGGGGAGATGGGAGAATCTGGGACCTGTTCCCCCACATTCCAGAGCGATGGAGAAAGGGACGAGTGTGGGAAAGTTGCTAGGCCAGTTTCTCTCTTAACAACTTTTCTGTTATTTTTTTCCACTCGCTCCTCGTGTCGCTCTCCCCAAGGGAGTGCAAGCGAAGAAGAAACCGGAGTCCTGTATGCAAATACTGCTTTTATTGTTTAAGTCCAGTTGCAGGAGTCTGCAAGGCTGAATCTGCTTCTCCCCCTACCTGCTTTTTAGATACGAGGGAGGGTCTCCTTCCTCTGATTAGTTTTGGCTCAAGCTTGAGATTTCTTTTCCCCAGCAGCCGGCTCGCTTGCGGCTCTTCCTCCTGCTCTTCAAAATTATTTCCTTCTCTCCACAACAGACAAATGGACAGTCGGATGATAGATAATAGATTGGCAGAGGATGGATGATAGATGGATGACATAGACAATAGGTTGATGACAGATAGCAGAGGAAGACAGAAGCAGAGAGCGCATGGTAGAGGGCCGTCATGGCACACAAAACCCTCTCGGTGGGCAAGTCTGCCATCACCAGCTGCTCTTCTGGTTTAAAAAACAGGCCGTTTGGGGAGGGGAGCTTTTGGGGGGCTGTTTTCAGGCTGAAAAAAAGCCCTGAAAATGGTCTGAAAAACACCCCAAAATGCCCTGAAAACAGACTGAAAACAGCCCCCCAAAAAGGCATGCACGCACCGGCCAGCTGCTCTTCAGGTTTCCGGTGCTCCAGCACGCAGAGATGCTCACACTTTCGGTGCCCAAAAGGTTCGCCTTCACTGATGTAGTGTTAAAGTAGCCAGGTTCGGAGACCCCTGGTCTAAGCCAAAGTTAACCACGTTACATCATGGCTTGCGATGGCCGTTAAGTGTGAAAAAGGGCCAGAAGTCCCTTTCTCTCAATGCTGATGTCACTTCAAACGGTCACTAAATTGTTTTAAATCAAGGAGTCTCTGTGGGCTTAAGAACGTCGGGGGAATCTGTGCGTTTCCCCCCCCCCCCCCCGTTTTGCTAGGACCCTGATTTAAAGCAGACCAAAGAGCCATGCGTTTCGCGAGGATTTCCAAGTAGCTTTATTTCAAACACGAACAATGCCGGCGCCTTGGATAACATCGCAACGGGGCCTTGGTAGCGTTGCCAGCCTGGAGAAATCCTCCCTCATACGGTGGACAGAGGCAGCTGGGAAGCTTGCGAGGGCTCTGTCCCATTGGCTGCTGAAAAAGGGGGGGGGAGAAGGGAGAAAAAGGGGAGGGGAGGGTCTCCCCCACCCCTCAGGGATCGGCCTGCCAGCAGCAGAGGTGCCCCAAGAGACAGCTGCCAACCTTGGCTGCTCTACCCATCTTCATCACACAACTGAGCCCATGGAATTCATTCCCAAAGGAATTGAGCCTCTCCTCCAGATACGATAGTTTAGTTTTAAGGTATATTAATGTATATATTGGTGTGCGTGTGTATATATATATGTTTTGGAATTGCAGATTTAGTCAGTCCCAGTCCTTCTGGATAGGGCAAGACTGTGGCTCGATCCTGCCCGGGAACCTTGGGAATTTTAATTCCTTGCTCCCTTGGCAGGTGGAATTTTCCAGTTGCAAACAGAGATGGAAAGTTTAGTGTGTGTGTGGAGGGGCACAGGGTGTGTGTGTGTGTGTAGAAAAATAATAATTCATTTTTCACTAGGACAGGCGTGCTGGACAATAGTGCAAATTCGACTCCTTCCTCACTTCCTTGCGAAGAACGGCGTCCCTCCCACCCCTCGCAACCTCCCCCACTCCCCAAACCCTGCCCTGTATTTTCAGCCACGCCTTATTTTTTTTTAAGACTTGGTGCTGCGCCAGAAGCAAAAAATCCCAAAGTCTCTTTGGGCAACCGAGGCTTCAAAAAACGAAAACAGCGAAAAAACAGACCAGCTGTTGTTATTGTTTAAAAAAAAAAATCATAAAGGGAACAGAAATATTGACGGAGTCTTAGATCTCCTGGAAAGATGCTGGTAGCAGGTCAAAAAGGGGAAAAAGAAAGAAGACACCCCCCCCCCCAGTGCATCTTCAGGTTTAGTGTTTTGATCGTCGGTGCCCCTGTTCCCCCTCAGGTGGGCACTTCTCAACTTAGAAGGAATGTCAAACGTCAGTT